TTTACTTAGATTCGTTAATTTATTTTATATAAAAATCACTTTATTGAAAATAATTTAAAAGGAATATGGATTTATTATATTAATGTATTCAGTAAATATATGACTAAATTATTTGATAAGAATTTTAAAGTTTATTTTAAAAACTACTATAAGATTAAAACAAATCATACTTGTTTATATTCGTTTTAATTTAAAATTTTTATTATTTTAATTACAAAAAGTTGTATTTTTAAATACTTTTGTAATGATATATTTCCATTTAAATATGATTTCGAAACTAATTATAAATTTTATAGAAATTTTTAGAAATTTTTAAAAAAACCATAAATTTTTAACTGATAATTAAATTATGTATTTTGAACAATTATATTTATTATTAACAATATTACACAATAATATTTTTAATAAAATTAATAGTTATTCATTAAATGTTTAATTAAAAAAATTGATAAATATTTTATAAATTTATAAATATAAATATGAAAATAAATGAAGTAATTTTTTAATCATGTATATAGAAAATATTAAATAAATTATCATATTTAATAACTAATTTTTGCTTGAGTCTTTTATATACTAATAACTCAGGTAAAGCCATTGATATAGTATTTTCCTATAATTAATAATTTTCATAATTTCTTAAATACTTTATTATATCAACAAGAAAAGTTAGATTAAAACTTTATTATTCAAAAATTAAAAAATTGTCTCCATGATTTTTATACTAAATATAAATATAAGTTCGTTATTGTATCAAGATCAAAATGAATAATATTCATAATTAATATAAAAAGTATTTTAAAAGCTTTTTAAGAATAACAACTCAGAATAATAAGTACTACATCCGAGTGAAGTACTATATGAGAATTATATCTCTAAGTAATTGTTGTTATCTGAAAAGCATGCAATGAAATGAAAAATATAAATTATCAAAAGTAAAGCGCTAAAAAATGACGTATTTTAGAGTCATATAGTTGATCTAGAAAAATCGATTGAATTAGCTTAGTACCTTTGCATTCTACTTATAAATATAAAATTTAACGCAAATTCATTTTCTTCTCTTTATTATATTTAAATATTTAAACATATAATCTATATTGGATTTTGTGTAATAATAAAAAATAATATATTATTGTAAACATATATAGAGTAGAATTAGTTTTCTAATAAAAACATAAAATTTATTTTATTAATTTTTTAATTTCCCATAATAATAAAATACAAATTATGTTTAAAAAATGTTTTAAAACTAAAATTTATTTTGCCTATAAGTATTAAACTATATTTAATCAATTATATACTTATATAATTTATACTCTATTATATAATTTATATTTAATTATATCATTTATATTCCGTTATGTAATTGATATTCCATTATATAATTTATATTCTATTGTATAATTTATATTCCTTTATAGAATTTATATTCTGTTATATAAGTTATAATCCATTATATAATTTATATTCCGTTATATAATTTATATTCCATTATATAATGTATACTCTATTATATAATTTATATTCCAGTATTATTTTATCATCTGATTTAAATTGATATAAATAATGAAATGAGATTTTAGTTTTTAGTATTTTTACGTTATCTACATATTAAATACTTTAATTATTTGTAATATATAAAACATCTGATTGTTTTCGATTTAATAATTGTAAATAACAAAGATTAGTTTTAAGTGTTCAAATACACATTTATAAATAATTGTAACTATATCAGACAAAATTTCTTTATTATTTTTGTTATATTGAAATTTGCAGGTATCATGTACATAGTTAATATAAAATAAATGAATAAATAAATATTTTCAAATGTTAACATAAAATATTATAATTTATAGCGTAGTTTTATAAAATAATGATAGTTAATAATAGTAATGAATGTTAGTTAATCTAATAAACTTTTTAATAGATATTGTATTATTTGATTACAATATTAATATTTTAATTTATGTTATTTAATTAACTTGAATATATTAGGCTCTATTTTTAATTTTAATTCTATATATATACATTTTATATATAAAACCATTTTATATATTATTTAAAATAATGACATAGGATCTTACTTAAAAATATATATTTAATTTTAAAATTGTCAGAAAAGGTTTTGTACTTTTAGATATATGTATATGTATGCATATGTACGTATATATATATATATATATATATATATCCATACAATATATATACATATATAAACATTAAACAAGCTTTTTAAAATGATTATGGCTTCTAATATTAACTAATTTTATAACTATAAATTTTATCTATTCAAAAAAATAATCGTTACAAATTAAAAATTCTTATTCGATTCCTAATTTATAGGAAATATTTAAGTTACTGTCTTTTCGACAAAGTAAATATATTATGGAATATATCAATAAATAATAAAATTATGAATGACAATAATGCATATGTAGTCCTTTTTTAAATCAAAATCTTTATATAGAAGTTTTGTATATATAGATAAAAAACTATATTAAAAAATTGAGTGAATATTATTACAGGTTCAGAATAATAATTTTACTTTTTTTGACATATATTTAGATTAAACAAAGAATACAAAGCCAATACTTAATGTTTTTTCATTCATTAAAAATGATTATTACATCTATAAATGAGATCTCTATTGTTAGTGAAATTAGAAGCCTTTAACTGTAACTTCAAGTATTTTTTGTAACTTTAATAGGAAATAGAATTTGCCAAAATATTATTCTAGACATAAATGTTCCTTATATCTGTCAGTATTAAAGCTAACATATATAGATTAAAGATCACCTAATTTTTTATTATATGATATCATTATACAAGTTCTGTACACCCCTTTTTATCTTGTTTTATTAAAATGTAAAGAAAATTTAAATAAATTTATATAAGTTTTTATTTAATTTAAAAAAAAGAAAATAATTTATTAATCAGTAACATTAAATGTTTATACATAATTACATGCTTGTAAATATATTGCAGATAAAATTTCATGTAAGTTTTGTTTGTTTTAATGACTGCATAATTATTACTTTTTATAAAAATGTGCTGTTAAAAATATTTAAATTTTTATATCACTAAAACTTTTTTTATTATAATAGTTGAAAAACATTCAATAATTATTAAAAAATATATTATAATATATATTGTAGATAATTAAATAATTTTATTAAAAAATACTAATGTTTTGGTTTTTACATCAATCATATAATTATTAATTTCATATTGATGTCTTAATGATTACTAGTCGTATATTTGAAAAAATATTGATAAAAAAATTATATAAACACTTTTTTTTATATAATACTATTTTAATTTGTAAAATTTTGTAAAAAAAATATAATTTATAAGTATAGGTAATGTTATCTTAATAATTTGTATACATTTTTAGAATTATTATTTAATCCTTACTAAATTATATTTCAATAATTATAATAATTATTAAGTAATTATCTGATTTTTGGGTAATATTTTTTGTCAAAAAAAAAACCAAAAGATAATCAATTTTCTAAATAATAAGTGTAATTCAATAAAGGACATTTTATTTTGAATTCACGATGACTAAAATAAAAACTGATTTTATATTTCATAAAACTACTTTATATTTTACTTTATAACAGTCTGCTTTTTGCATTTCACTATTTACAAAATATAGTACATAAACATCAATAAGATTAAAAAATATTTTTAAATATTAAATAATTTTATTTTCATTATATTTAAAGAATTATATAATTAAGTTTAATAGTCGGTGATATAGCAACAAGAATTATATTTAAATAAATCGATCTATTTTTCACATATTATCTAATTTTATTAATTAAAAATAAATAATAATCGAACCTTTTGTGCTTTTTATATGAAAGAAAATTAATAAATAACATAAACTAGAAATATAATACATTTAATACATTTTCTAAGTATTTTATATTCAAATATGTTTAATAATTTTATTTTAAACAAAATAAACAGCTAAGAAACAATTATAATTTAATTATCAAGTCAAAATATAATTATCATATAAAGTGAAATAGTTCAGGCTACTTTGTACGGTTCAAAAAAATTTTTAAATAAAAAATTTTCAGAATCCATTGTATTTTTTTGGCAATTATAATATATTATAATGGATTAAATATAATTTATTAAAATAAAAATATTAAACAATAAAAAAATTCAAAGAAAATTTTTAATTACAATGTATTATTGTCAAAATAACTTTAACTACTTCTTTATATATATTTTTTTGATACATAATTAATATTACTAAATAATTTATATAATCAGCATATATTTTCCATAATTGTTCTTTTTCTATAAAATTACAAATTATTAGAATGTTATATTAGAAATTAAAACTTATTTTAATAAAAATAAAAACAAATTACAAATTCAGAAATTTGTTTTTATAATATATTCTTGACAAAGTTTTGCAAAGGTCTCGACTAATATTATGTGTGTTTAAATTTGCGAAGCACATGTGAAAAATGAGAGTATAGCATAGTATGTACGTAAGTTAAGTATAACAAAATATAATTAAAAAATCCAACTTTAAAATGGCATGAAAGTATGTTACTTTCTACAAGAAAAAGATAAAATATAATAGACATTTATAATATAAAAAGGTATAGTTTTTAAAAAATTAAAAAATATTATTCTTCACAAATAAATGTTACTTTGACAGATACTAAAATCTATGAAATTCTTATAAAAGTCTTCGTATATTGAATACGTATATAGGTGTATTCAAACGTATAAAAAATACAAGTTTATTTTATGTATAATCAGATGAAATGATTAAAAGGTTATAAATAAAGTAAGTAACTGCGTTATTTAAAAAAAAAGTATTTAAAGACTTTTTCATTATACAAATAATCTTTACTTTTACATAATATTCATCTATTGAGTCATTCGCAATTAAGAAATCATATATATTTCGTAAAGTAGTATGACTATATAATAACAAAATATATTCCTTAAATTAAAATAAAAAAACTTACACCAACGTCTGAGAAAACCTCCTTGAAGTTTTGCACATATACCTTGATGCACCCTCATTATGTTCGTCTGTTTTTGATATTAACTCTTTATAAAAGTGAAAGCAGCGCACTTTTCTCTTGTTACAAATAAGACAAGTTACAACTTTGAAACGAATAATTCGTGCGATAAATATTTGTCAAATATACAAAATAAATAATTTAAATATAAGGCAATTTATATACTTCTATTTCAAAAAATTTATTTGTCAAATACACGATCCTTGCCAACTCACACAATCACTCACACGTATATGTAATCAAGAAGACACAAGACTGACTATAAATAAGTAAAATTGTTCATCTTGTGCAATATTGAAACAGTGAACATAACAATAATTATTTTTAAAGATTTTCCCACTAACTAACTGTACTATAATATATTTATGCATTTAAGTGTACACGTTGAAGTCGCCTGCTACACTAAATACAAATGATCGGTAAGAAAGTGGCCAACATACTAGCCACTAGTGGTCGCGCCTGCTCGTTTATGCCCCTACTACTTTTGACACTGAACAGCAGTAAATGAAAGGCTAACCCAAACCGGACCAAAATGAACGAAACTGGTCTGAATCGCAATCTGTTTTTCTCACAAGAACTAAAGTTTAGATAAATAATTATGCTCATATTTATAAGAAAAAAATAAGAAAAAATACGTCTCTACAATAATTCTTTTAAGTATTTATGTCATTTCAATGACGCTTATGTATAAACAAATTAACAAATTATATCATTATATCTTATTTTATTCTTAATTTATTGATATTGAGTTCAGATTAATATAAAATAATATATCATTCTTTGAAATGGAAAGAAAAAGAAAAATATTCATTTTATCAAATACTTGTGAAACTATAGTAATAATATTTGTTCATATATTAGTAAGATTATATCAAATAAATTGTGGATGCCGCATATCATATTATAAAATTAAATCTTTGATGTTTTAAATGGTGTTCCTAATTTTATTAAAATGACATTACAGAGAATTAAAATTATAATATTACTGTGTAAAAATTGTAAATTTTTAACCATAAAGTGTTTATGATATATACAAGGATGTTATATTTGTATTGAAGTTTAAAAAACATTGTTACTTTCTTCACTGGAACACATTTGTAAGGAAGAGTTCATAATATATAAAACTATACTATATTTGCTAAGTTTATACCCTACATTTGTTTTAATTAGATATAAGGTTTTCATTCAAATTTTTAAAATTTATATTTTTATGCGTTGAATAATATTTTGAATTTCATAATCTTAAAAAGTGTTATTAATGCTTACGAAAATAATTGTTTTTATAAAATATTTACAGTTAAAACATTATTCTAAATTAAATATAAAATATTCAGGTATTTATTTATTAACATATTTTTTCTTTCATTATTATTGATTAGTTTTGTAATGTAAATAATATTTATTTAATTTTTGAATAAATATTTAATTAGTTTAATAAATATGTAATTTAAATTTAATTAACAGATTACATTTTTAAATTGATGTATATAGTTTAAAAACGCTGTGTAGCCAATTTTGTATATTAAAAAGCTAATTATTTAAATCGTTTACTAATATCAAACAAATAAATGTTTATTAATTTGTTTACGTTCATCGCATATTTTTAATTTTTTGTAATTTATATTTTATAATTTAAATTAAATTTTGAATTTTGATAATTCTTTAAATAATGGTACATAACTTGCATTAATTTAAAAAAGTAATTAAGTTAAAAAAATTGTGTTAAAAATATGATTTGATAATAAAAAAAAAGAATAATTTATTGAAAGTGAAATTGATTTTAAAAAGTTAAATTGATTTTAATCTAATGTATTTTAGTATGCATTTAAATTAAGTTATTCATTGATACAGTAAATGTAGTTGTTCATAATTGAGTTTTAATATATTAAGTAGATGTATCAAATAACGAAAATTATGAATAAGATTAATTTTAAATAAGGTAAGATAAAAAATACATGTTTGTACTTAATTATCTTATATATTAATTTTTCATAAATAGATGTTTTTATATATACACATGTAATCAATTATTCAAACTGTCTTTATAAAATTAAAAATATTTGTAAATACGTAATAAGATTTATTGAAAATTCAACCTATGAATTGTTATGTTAATTTAATTAGTCAATTTAAAATGTCTTCACTATATACAATACTAATATAAACATATATCAAGATTTATGATCCAGTGAATTGTATATAATCTATAATATTTATTTATATTTTGAAATACTTTCATCACAAATCAATAGATAAATAATCAAAGATATATAAACTATCCTGCTAAATTGTGTATATAAGTTTATTCGTCATAACGTTGGAATAAAATATAACAGATCACTCTAAATGCTACTTATATAAATAGAATTTGTAATATTATTAAAATTATTAAAAAATTCATTATTTTATGCTTATAATATATTATAAAATTTACAATAAACAATATAAATAAATAATTAAAAATTATTAATAATGAAGAATATATAATTCATTTTAATTAATCGATAGTGTTTCAATTCCATTAAAACTTAAAAAAATTAATATAATATATTTAGAGATAAAATGAATAATAAATATTAATTATTAAATCAAAATGTATGTAGTTTTTCAATAAGAATTCAGGAAAAATAATTGTTATTTTGCTTGAACTTGTATTCTAATTAATGGTTATGCTCTATTTTAAGATTTATTATTTTTTAAAAATTTTACTTTTTTTGATTATATATTATAAAATATTAAAATAAATTGAAAAAAAATATTTATTTACAATATTGGAAATAAAATCAAATCTATATTTTACCAACTCATACAGTGTATTTCATAATAGAGATATTGCTTATATTCAATAAAAACAAGTTATATATATATATATATATGGAAGGATATAAAGATAGTTATACTCTTATATATTATCAAAAATAATTAATTCCCTGGGTGTGTAATTTATAATGTAAATCGTTAATTATTTAAATCATTATATTTAATTCCTTATAAGTTAATTTTTTTAATAATAAAATGTATTCATAAAATATTTCACACTTACATTAAAATATTGTTATTTTAATAATGTATAACAAGAAAAAATATTATTATTAAAAGAAAATCAGAAAAATTAACAAATAATATATTGTTAAGTTTTGTGAATTTTTACGAAATTTAATTACGTTACAAGATATTTTATATTTTTTAATTTATTTTATTATTATACTTAAATATTAATTTTTATTTATTACTTCAATTTTCAGTTAATTATTCATTACTACAAAACTTTTAATATTTTATTATTTAATATATAATATTAATAATTAATATTTGTTTATAGGTTAAAAATAATTAAATTCATGTCCAGTTAAAAAATTGATTTATCTATAAAAGTATTACTCTGTGACATTCTGGCAAAATAAATAGTAAATATTTACAAATTATCAAGTACATTATTTTTATTGTATTGTAAATGGGCTTTTTAATTATAGTATTATTATGCTAGAAATAATTATAATAGATTTTTTTATTCATGATTTTTAAAAATTTTTAAGAATTTTTTTATATGAATTTTTAATAACTCCCTCGACAATATGACAATTAATTCTAGTTTTTAAAAAATTTTATTATAAGTAACAAGTAATTTTTTATAGCTGTTTTTAATAATGATTATATGTTTACAACTTATTTCATCAACATTTTAATTAGATATTAAAAGATTAAATTATGAAGTAGCAATAAAATGGATACAAAATAACAACTTTCAAACACTTTTCAATAAGTTATTTAAATATAAACTATATAAATCAAAATATACAATCAGATATCGTTATTGTTATTATATATATATATATATATATATTATTTAATGGTATAGTGAGAATTAATTACGAACATCATATTTAAAATTTTGATCGCGTTTAATTCTAACATCACAGCTAATTTTAACATTAGCATAAAAAATATATAATAAAAGTAAGTAATAGTATTAAAACCATAAATTCTTAACTACAATTCATTTTGAAGTTTTCAATGAAATTATCAATTCATAACATATCGGATTGAATATGAAACACTATTCCAATTTTTAAAATTTTTAATTTTCTTATAATTAAATATTAAGAGAATACAACTATCAATCTTTATTAATTTTGGTATTTGTAAACACTTGTGTCTATTCACCATTTCAATAATTAATAGATAATTTATTTAACAAACGATGCATTCAAATTCATAAACATTACAAAATAAATTAATGTTTCTAAATTTGATTTTATAAGTATTATAATAGTACTAATCACTTTAAAAATGATTGTATTAAGTAGCTCACCACGTATGTTAATAAATTATTCCCAATTATTTGAGTAATAAATATTAATTAGAATTATTTAAAAATAATTTTAAATAAAATTGAAAAATTGAATTTTGTGTTGTACATAATGTTTTCGTGTATCGATGTATGAATTTTAATACACCATCATGCAATACAGTATAAAAAATTTTAAATAATTTACTTTTAAATAATGAACTTTATATTTAAATATTTATTTTAATTATTTAAAATATTTAAATAGTATAAATATTTTAGTTCTTTTTAATAATTTTACGATCATCGGCATAAATAATTCATCGTACCCGTAAATCAACTATTAAAATATTTAATTAAAATGTAAGAATTTCATCTTGATTATTAAAATCAATGCATTAATTATTGAGTTTTTCTGAAATCAATTCTTACTCCTTGAATATGTTAATAGTAAAATAAAATTGTTAAAATTAATATAATTATAAAAATTAATAAATACAACTTTAATATATGACTACGTGTTTACCAATGATTTCCATCTTTACCTTATATGTAACAGGTCTAATACATCTAGTAATTATTCTCATTATATTATCACCTAAAATATATATTTATTCATGTAATAAAAGGACGAAATAGTATACTGAAGATTATTTGCATTATTTTTGTGGTTTATTTATCGGTTAGTCCTCATAATATTATTGTCAGATTCTGATTAATTTTATTCTTTTTTCTTTACTTATAAATTTCATTTTGAATTTGCAACTATATTGTAGAACTCGTGTGGGTGTCTGAATATATTGAAACGTAATAGAGTATTAAAATTTCCGTTATTAAAAATACATATGAAACAAAATGTCAAGT